GTTGCATGACTCATGTGTTTCACGGACACGGACACACATGAGTCATGCAACGAAGAACATGGCTGATTTTGACGAATATTCGACACGTTATTCTCCGACTTCACTTTGACTCGTGGTCCATATTCATGGGTAAGATCTACTGTATTTTTTAAGTAAATCAATGCGTCGACACTGTTTCTTTTATGAATATTGATTACGAGACATGTGTAATGCGTTTAGTTTTTTATGGTTCTGAAGAAGGCCAAGTAAGGCACGAAACGTCAACGACTGTATACTATTATTGAACGTATTAAATATAATTTTAACATCTTATATAAATGCTCGAAACGTGGCCGTTTTAAATTATTTAGCTTCTACTTAATACAATATTGTATAGTCTTGTACAGACCGAAGATTAGATATCAGGTTATTAGACCATCATGAGTGGTCGAACTTTAACTATATTTCTAAGAATCAAATATCAACTGTTCTGAAACTGGAATAAATAATCGTAGATAATTTTATTACATATTTACATGGAAACGCGAACTCAAGATCTCTCTCCCCGCTCTCCTCAAGCTCCGGCCCCGCCTCTCTCCTGATTTTAATGAACGTTGATACAAATACTCAAGTACTATACGATTCCAATATAATCAATATATTATAATTTTTCAAAATCGAATGATTATCCGGAGTAGGTACATTATACAATACACATACATACGCGCGTACCGACTATCAAGATGTTTCTAGAATTTAGAGCTTTAGTACGAACCTTCGAGATCAGATGAACGAGCATAATCAAACCCGACTTGCCAGGATACTTGCCAGCGATATTCGCCGGCGTAATGTCAAAAAGCGTAGCTCCAAGTTCCGTACAAATCGCGTTCACCAAGAGTTTTTTGCCGCTGCCGTGCGGACCAGCTATCAGAACTGATCTCACGAGAGGTGTGAGTTCTCTGAGGACTTGATTGCCTACCGGAAGTATACAGTATTCGGCGACCACGTGCCTTATGTCGCCTAAACGTAATTTAATTCATTATTATAAAAGATATGCTCTCCAAACCGCGGGATTTGGAAATATTTTGATGACAGATCTTTGGGCAAATTTTGGAAAGAATTTTTTTCTTAGCAAAAATATCGGGAGGCAGACTTTGATATTTGTTAACGAACGAACAATGTTTAAGTGCTATGCTATTTAAATGTACCGAGTGTCGGAAGAGGATCTTTCTCCTTCATACGAAGATCGTGATTAGCGAAAGACTTTTCACCCTTGAACTCGTCTAGCGAAACTTGACGGTGAAGCTTAATAATTCCTTGTGTGAGAAGCTCCTCGAAAAGAGATTCGGTCGTTCTATCGGGTGTTAGATCTTTCTCCTTCTTCTTTTTATTTTTCTTTCCGCTCCTGCGAACTCGCTTCTGAGGTTTCTTGGCGCGTTTCCCTTTGAAACCTTTGTCTCTATCTAACGCAAGCTGAAGAGCCTCTATATCGCCTACGCGTAATATCATATCGCGTTATTACCGCATTCATAGGGACATAGGGACGTTGAAAAATTCTCGCGTCGCTAATCTGAATATAAACACAATCTCAATAAAACAGCATCTTCCCTTTGTATAATACAATCCTTTACACGTCCTTGCAGTAACTTTTCACCAGTACAACAGAATGAGTGCGGTTGTTACATCAAATATGGCAGAAATTTACGTACAAAATAATACGGAATATGTTACTTTTCGATAAGAGATAAGAAGGAAAGAGCATTTTAAATAAAGAGAAATTGAGATAAAAAGAATGAGAAACAAACTGATTTAAATCGAATCGACATTCTTGTGTCGCTTTCAGTTTTGATCTCGATTATTCTTTCTTGAGCACGAAATATCCATTTACCTCTCATCGCCTGATCCACAACTACTCTGATCTGGTCCTCGATTTCCTTCGTTTTCTCCGCTTCTATTATATCGCGATAAGGCAATTGCATCGAGTTCGCGGATTCATCCTTGTCCTTCCAAACGTTCTGATACTCTTGATTCGCGTGAATCAATTCCGGCAGAAAGTTAGAAGGAACAGGTTTGAATCCTAAATCCGTCTCGTCCTCCGACTGCTCCGTTTCGCTGTCTTTCTTCGATTTTGAGCGTTTCGATTTCTTTGATTCCTTCGACGATACCGCCGTAGACTTACTCACGGTACTCTCGGTTCCCTGTAACAAAGAAAGTACGCTAAGAACAAAATACATGGCAGTTATAAACGCACTACAACGCACGAAAATTGTTTTTCGCGGCCGTGAAACTTTGTAGATACAACGTAAATATTCGATTTCGATTACATGAGGGGTGCATTCTGTTTCATCACACATGATGCGCATAATGCATCATTTATCCTAGCTTGTTTAACATTCGCTAAACAACAAGGATAAATGATGCATTATGCGCATCATGTGTGAAACGGAATGCACCCAAGATATGACCCATGCTACGTCGATTTGATAATCACTTATTATTATGTTGTTATGTTTTTATGTAATGCACGTTATATAAACATAAAAAATGAGTTATCATGCAAATTGATGCAATTTAACTTGTGCATGCATCTTATTAATTCTTATTCTCTATCGCGCGCGCGCATGTGTGTGTATGTGTGTTCGGTATTGTTTACCTGTCTACTGAAAATCATACGCGAACCTCCGCTTTCGGTGGATGGTAAGTCAGGTATTTTTCCAGTTTGTTGAAAATAAGTGTCGATCCACGTTCGGATTTCACTCCTTATATTTTCCTCCATAATAGCGCTTTTCTCTTTGCGAATTCTCTCCGCAGCCTCCAGAATCAAGTCCTCGTATTGTCGTTGAAAATCCACCTGCTTTTCGTATCTCTGCTGTTTCAGTCTTTCCGCTTGCCTGGCACTCTTCGTGATCACTTGACTAGGCTGTAGCATTCCTTTCGACATACGTACACGTTTTGATACGTGAATCGAATGAAACGTTGCGAGTGTTCTCGACTCTCCATCGAAATAGACAAATATTATATAAATCTACGCTTCTATACAGAGCGGGGTGAAAATGACTAAATTTTTCATAATTTTATGTTATTTTTATCTTTTCCTCTTTCGTCTTTTCGAAAGGGACAGGCTAGAGCGAGATTTATCACAACCGGGGAACGTTAACAGAAATATTTTGCAACATGCGCGGAAATAGATGATCGACGTTCATTTATCGAACGAAAAAAATCAAAATCTCGACGGAATTAAATTACGTCGTGATTATTTCTTACCTATAAGTAACATCTCCTCGAGGCGCCTCTTGCGAATGTAACATCTAGTGATATATCCTTTCCACACCTTTTGAATTTTCAGTGCCGCGAGCTTCTCGCTCGCTTCATCCTTTTCTTCCATTTCTGGCTTGGTAGTCGATCTTTCTTTCATTTCGCGAACTTCTTTCATAAATTGAAACCGCAGTCTACCTTGTCTCGCTCGTTCATGAGCCTGGAAGCCGTACAGTTTACGGTTGGCTTGAAACGTGTCTCTTTTAGATGAAGATGAGTAAAAGTAAATACACGAAAGCGGCATCATTATGGATGCGATGCTGTCTTTGCAGATATAAAATTTATATTATATTAAGAAAAATCTCGATCGAATAAGGAGACGCGACAATCCAACGCAACCGACAACCACACAGATGATAAAGTTTAGATCCATTTTAATTCATAGCAAACATTATTTATTCGCTATATTTATTACTAAATAGAAAAAATGCAAAATAAAATGAGATATTTTTAAAATATATAATCAAGTACAATATTTTATTTTATATATATATTCCATTTCATTCGGAAATTTTAACTATACTATATAGTCTGGGGTAGAAGACCTTTGCGCCGCGCGCCGGGCAGAAAGGATCTTTCTGCGCCGGGTGAAGACACTGAACTACTGGAAGACCATATGTCAAGAGGTTGATGTTGCCGCGTGCAAACAACGAAACAACACGTGTGACGAATGTTTAAATTTATTAATTCTTCCGATCCATCCGTCAGAGTCGTCAGCTAGACGTGGTCAGCTGACGTGTCCATATTGTATAGCGTTTCAGGATTCGTGTCAGTGCTACAGCTTTTGACTCTGCTTTTTGAAAAGGAAAGGAAAGGAAAGGGAAAGGTAAAGGTAAAGGTAAAGGTTGGCGACTGCAATGTAAACAGTAGAGTATCTTGATTTTCTTGTAGTTCACCTGAATAAGTCGTACAGCCTGGGACTCGGTAATCTGTCTGGGCACAACGATCTCGTGAAGCGCGCCCAGATTTCGGAGCGTGTCCTCTACGAATTTCCGTCTCTCTTCGATCTCCGCGATTCGATCGCGTTTGTAGTAGCTCGGTATCCGGATCTCGGCCTCCTGCGGCGTCACGCCGCACTCGATCAGCACGTCGTCGTAATAGCTGTGCTCCGAGAGATCGATATTATTGACCAGTTCGTGCTTCAACTCCAATACTCTGCCCAGAGTTGCGTTCAACAATTTCTTCATCAGCAGCCGCTTCTGAGGCTGTATCACTTGATCGTAGCATTCCTCGAGTTTGTTACACGTTAGGATATATCTCACGTACAACGCCGCGACGACGTCGTGCGCCTTTTTACGATCCTTTTGCGGCTTCGCCCCCTGAAGCACCGTGTCCGCCTGAATCGTCTCAGCGAGCGACATTTGGGCCCTTCTCCAAAGCTCGTCGTACGTCGCGTTCGACATATTCTAACTTCTTAATTAGTTCTTCAAGAGACGCGAACCACCTCCACCTTCAACAATCAACAGCGTTCGAAAGTTTTACCCCGCGGCGTACACCCCGTTTATCGCACGTGTTAGATGCGGATAATCGATACGTGTCGTCGTCGGCTACCTAGCAACACCTACGCGGATCGGAACGTCGAAATTATTCGGGAAAATGGAATGATGGAAACGCGTGTTGTTTGTCGGACATGACGATGTACACGTAGTACGTACATCACACGTGAAAGGAATTTTATTGTCGATCACGTGTCGAAACCAAATTTACGATATGTATAACATACTACATAATAGGCATACACAAATAACATATATACAACATAATCGTTATTTTTCCTTACGAGAGCAAAATATCAAAGCCTAATTAATAAGCGATGGCTAATAAAAGATAACGCGAATTCTTTTACTCTTATTACGTTCGCTTTTGTACATGTACATATAAATAGTTCACATGATTGAATTAATGTGAGCGCGGACGATTATACGTTTCGAAAAATCAAACGTATAACATATGTATGTGTTTCTTTATATTTTATTTACAAATATTTATTCAAAAATAGAAAATTGACAAAACTATATATATATACGAAGTTGAAGACTTACAAGACTTGTTAGAAATACCAGCTATCGCGAATTATCGCATCTTAAAAATAAAACGAATATGGTTCAAACAGATCCGAACAAAAACGGCAAAATTAACTGCGCGCTAAATACGCTAAATAAAAAATTGTTGTTATATAGTCGAAATGTTTTTTCGTTAAACAGAAATAGACACGTACTTTTAAAAATATATACGTACGCTATTCCGACATCAGACTATAATTGTAAGAAAACTGATGCGAAAACGCACCTATGCCATTTCTACTCTCTATTGGCGTTTTCGATTTACTACTCTTCTTCTTCTTCTTCTTTAATTTCGTTGGCTCCTGCCTCTAACCGAGGACAATACGGCCAGCTTTGTCCACAGTGTGTATAGCTGACACAGATGAATGCTCGATTTACTACTCGACCCGACTCGGGTCGCATCAATGGACGTGGAATACATACATAGATATGTACATATGCATTCCACGTCAATGATGCTAGAGTCCTGTATACATGATGCGACCCGAGTCGGTTTGAGTCGCAAATCGAAAACGCTATATGTTTCTATTAGCAGAGAGCTTGATCCTCTGGGGCCCTGTTCTTGAATCGTTTTCATGAAACTCGCATGCAAAATTTAATGCTTTTCAAATAGAAAGTCGCATACGAAAATCATTAGGGCAGGCTCGAGAATACGGTCCCTGATCCCTAGCAATCTCGGACGGAGAAAGAATTAACCAATCACATTGGTCAATTGCCGAATTATTTAAAAATATGATTGGTCAATTTTTTCTCGGTCCAAGATCTCGGAGCGATTTCTAGTATCGCGGACACAATAAAGTCCGGTGTCCATGATGCAAGAACTGTGTCCAAGTTTTGGGTTTAAGTCAATCAACTTGTAGGTCTTACAGAAAAGTAGCAGTTTCATTGGCTTAAACTGAAACTTGGACACAGTTCTTGCATTGTGGACACCGGGCCTAAGGCTTTAGTCCTTGGAAAATTTTTTATTTTTAAAAGTTGTTCCAGATTGTGTTCTAATTAACTTTATATCACATTACAAGACTTAAGGCCATTGCACGTAACAAAGTTTTAGTCATAATCGTAAGGTTGTAAGAAAATAGACCAATCACAGTCGATTATTCTCCTCGCGCTTGAAGAATAATCAAGTGTGATTGGTCTATTTTCTTACGGCCTTACGATTAAAACTAAAACTTTGTTACGTGCAATGGCCTTTAGGCCCGGTGTCCACGATGCAAGAACTGTGTCCAAGTTTCGGTTTAAGCCAATAAAACTGCTACTTTTCGTGGACATCGGGCTTTAGCCTTGTGTCCACGATGCTAGAACTGCGTCCGAGTTTCGACTTAAGCCAATGGGCGCGTTCAGCAGAACAAACCGCTCAGTAGCGATCGAACGTGATTGGCTCTTACTTTTAGACCGAGCAAATCAGCGTGGCGTGTTGATAAGACGACACTCAACAGTTGTGTCTGCTGAACGCGGCCAATGAAACTGCTGCTTTTCTGTAAGAGCTGCAAGTTGATTGGCTTAAACCGAAACTCGGACGCAGTTCTAGCATCGTGGACACAAGGCTTTTTATGCGGGGTCTACAATGGGAATCGCAAGACGTGACCACGCACAGTCGATTATTCTCCTCAAATTCGATTGTGCGTGGTCATTTCTCACGACTTTGCGACTCGCATTGTAGACCCCGCATTACGGAACGGACGTGTCCTTCTGGAACACGTATGTTTGGAACAATTTGAACAATCTACAGCGATGATCCCGTTTCAGTGATTCCGCTCGGGAACATCTCCTATATTCAGTCCTCTCCACTCCTCTCCTCTCCTCCTGTTTGACCACGTTGCGCGTGACGACAGCCATTCACAACCCTCGGTGCCTGGAGTTTTTCCACTGAATCAACTAATCAGATATTTTTATTTTAAATCAGCCACGTGACGGCGTGGTCAATTGAGTCCCACTTCCCACTCTCCCGCTAGTTCCGCCAACGCCAATCGTCAAGTCCCGCGCGCTACTCGCTAGAGTCGCTAGACAGTCTAGCCACTGCGTTCTGTTGTTCTCTACACAGTCTACCTATCTACGTTCTACGTTTCTACCTGACCCCTGACCTCCGCTACTCCGTTTCAAAACGTTGTTTGATTTTATTGTCAGCCGAATGTGGCCGAATGTTTGCTCGCGATCGCGAATGTAATCTCTGTAAGTAATAAGTATAGGCTATCGCCAATCGTTGACCGAAGGTGATGATAAGAGAACATTCGCAGTAATGGCATCGGCATTGGAGCAGTTTGTAAATAACGTTCGAACGCTTTCGAAGCAAGGTATGGCCAAGTCCTGGGTATTGCGAAATTGCTTGATGCGTCAAACTTAACCTCAAATGACAAAAAACGAAGCAAAACATGAAGCATTTCAAACACATTTACAGAGTTTTCCTTGAAGAAAAAGCTTTCGATGTTAAATTCGACTCGGATATTTAGTACGAGCTCTCTTAGCTCTCTTATATAAATGAACCTTTAGATAACAAAAGAATTTTATATTACCACTATATAACCTGTTTGCGTGTACAGGCAATTTTAGAGAACTGTATGACATCATAAGCAAAAGCGTCGAAGTATTAACGAAGAATGGGCAACACTTGGACAATGTTTTGGAAACGTTGGATCTGCAGCAACATTCGTTAGGTATCTTGGCGGTGCTCTGCGCAAAATTTTCACTGCCTACGCCTAACGGTGGGAATAATCCTGATGTGCATAAACTCTTGTTTAATCAGGTTCAGGAGTTTATTATCGGCTGTAATGGAGAGCAAGTTAGATTTGCGCCAGATACATGTGAGTGTGTATCAGATTTTCCACTATAATTTTGATTAAGGTGTCATTAAAACACGTATGTATTCCATACATTTCGTTCACGTATAGCTATAAGATACCACTCGTGAATTTACACTTGTTAATGCGACGTTAGTCCACTACGTTTCCTCGTTGTTAAAAGAGCAAGTATCCCTTTTAATGCACCTGCCTGAAAACTATTTTCCTGGAATTTTACTACAAAATTTTCAAACGTGAGTTAAATATAAACTTTGAATAACCTACGTATGAAAATTTTGTAGTAAAAAATCGGTTTACGTACATTTATTTCTTGTTATATGCGACATTAATAAAATTTTTTTTTTCTTTTTTTACAGACGCAGACTTATGTCATCTGTTTACACAGAGCTTAGTCGAGTCAAAAACACCGTTACGTGGAATAGACGTGTTACGTCGCGCAATACGCAAGATACAACTCTTTGACAGTCAGCTGACTTCGATACACGCAGATCTTTGCCAATTATGTCTTTTATCCAAGTGTTTTAAACCGGCGCTCGAATTTCTTGACATAGATGTCACTGGCATTAGCCAGGAAGGAGGCCAGTTTGATTCAAAATATTTCCTATTGTACTACTATTATGGCGGCATGATATATACAGCGCTAAAGAATTACGATCGGGCGTTATATTTCTTTGAAGTGTGCGTAACGACGCCTGCCATGGCAGTTAGCTACATCATGCTGGAGGCCTATAAAAAGTACATTTTGATCTCGCTGATATTACATGGAAAAGTATTAAATCTGCCGAGATATACGAGCCAGGTGATCAACAGATACATCAAACCGTTGAGCCAGCAATATCAGGAATTGGCTACGGCCTACCTGGTTAATAGCTGCGAAGAAGTACAGAGCATTATCACCAAGTATCAACAAGTATTTGTGAGGGATCACAACTTGGGACTTGTGAAACAGGTGCTCGCTTACTTGTATAAGAAAAATATACAGAGGCTGACCAAGACTTTCCTAACGCTTAGCTTAAGTGACGTTGCAAGCAGAGTTCAATTGTCAGGACCCACTGAAGCGGAAAAATATATTTTAAACATGGTGAGTTATCTGTTGTCCGCAATATATAATAAATGTCTGGAAATCATCGACCTATAATTTCCGAGTTATAGATTCTTTGATAACGTTGACATTTTCTCAGTACAAAGATATTCTCTTTTCTCTTCTCTATGTTAAAATTTAATTCAAGTGAACGACAAGATTTTATTCTTAACCAATTTTCTAAAATAAAAATTTTTCGTTGTCTTTATCTTTCTCACGCACTGAAGAAGAGTCACTTTTATCCCCCCCCCCTCCCCCAAGAAAAGAGACCGTGACTTTCCTAACAAATAAAAAGATTTCTCTCTAAAGTTAGCTACATAGTACTATGAAGCACTTTACGCACAATATCTATAAATTGATATTATTTACTAGCTTTCCTTATGTATTTTCAGATTGAAGATGGTGAAATTTTTGCAACTATTAATCAAAAAGATGGCATGGTAGTATTTCACGACGATCCTGAAAAATATAATTCACCACAAATGCTCGCAAATTTTGAGAAGGAAATGGCAGCATGCACAGAACTAGATAAACGGGTACTAGAGATGGAAGAAGAGGTTGTCCTTACCCCGCAATACGTTCGTAAAGCTTGCGGACAAAACGATCAAGATGATCAAGCCGCTGGACCTGCGCCAACAAACGTCACAAATGCGCAAGGTCAAATTAAACAAAACACCTATTCTATGTAACATATATGTATGTCGTTGTGTGTTATCTTTATTAAAAAATAATGAGAAATCACGAAAAATCTTGTTGAGAGTCAAAGACTTCAATATCTGAAAGCTTGTTTTTTTTTGAATGACGATAGTACGTAGGAAAATATTTTCGCGACTTTCTTGGGCGTCGCCTATTTTGTAAACAATTTATGAATAAGAATTATTTTTTTTTTTTTAATATATATATATATAGGTTGAATTAAGTTACAATGATATAATTATATATATACGTTACAGAGATTTTATTTTATTATTATTTATAATAATACAGATTGCGGAGATCCTACCGTAATGTTATATTATTACTCATACGTTATATCTTTGCAAAATAGCACGCGTGCAAAATCATACCGTTATCAAAATCTCTGTAACATATATAATTTGAAATTAGGTCTACACAAATCCATGATTATTCATATGAAATAGTTAGCTTCTTCAAAGTATTCTCATGCCCATTGTTATAAAAAAAGTAATAATAAATGATTCATTTTGTACAAGATAGTTTCAACGTGCTAGTTAACTTGTAGTATGTCCAAAACTTGATAAAATATCCGAGAGGCTTCGCTGTTAAAATTACTATATACATACTGCAACTATGGAACGTAATACACAGCAATATTTTGTTGCAAAACGTCGTGCACTTTTAATATTACATAAAGCACAAAAGATTCAGGTTTATATAATACGTGTACGCATATACGTATATACAAGTTACGTGGTAAATATTATACGAAACCTTAAAAGTAAACACTTTATTTAAAAGGAAAAAATCTTTACGGAAAAATATCAAAGAGGAGGTTTATAAATTATTGAACGTTGTTAAGGAGGTTAGTTGCTCAAATCAGTATGATAAGACGTAGTTCAACGTTAGGGACGATATTCGTCTATGGGAAACCGCGCGTCCATGCCAAAGTTGTGAAGACACGTGTCTGCATGGTTGTCGAGTACGTATTGAAGTTATATTACTCTTATACACGGGTGACATAGCAAAAATGTTACGACACCTGTAATGTACCTCTCAAAAGGATATTAAAAATAAAACAGCATATTGTAGCTGTTTCGCGTAAAGCTAGCGCTATATCAAGCACGCTACAGAGAGCGTGTATTTGAGTCAGTCCTGATAAATGAGCGCCAATAAGTATAACTTGAATACGTCCTCCTTAATTTGCGATATTAAATATCTTGGCAAGGTCCACTTAATTTTTCATATCTTTCGGAATGCACAAAAGAAAACTTGTCTTTTTTTGTTTCAGGCTGATGATACTCATATAATTTGAATTTAATCATAAGAGAAGTTAAACCGCGAGTTACATTTTTAAGATAATACGTGACTAATTTCATTGGAGACTCCTTCATAAATTTCTACCATATCCTTGGATCCATCGATGAACGTTATAGTTTTACACATCTCGTTGTTTCGTACAACTTCATTTTTGTACTTAACATATTCAGGCCACACTATTTTATCAAAATATCCCGGTACATCAAGCGGTTCGTATATACGATTTTTTCTTCGTTCCCAACATTGCTCCTTCGTCAACGTTAAAAAGTATTTACAGTCACACAAATCTGCGATGGGCTTATGTTTGAAGAGCAAAAAACCATCCAATATCAGTAGCATTTTCGACGCCGTCGCATTTCTTCCGGGGGATTCAAGTATCTTTATAACGTCCGAATACATTTTCTGCATATCCAAACTCGTTATCAATTCCCAGTTTATGTGATTTAATTCCTGTATCTTAACGTGACGTCGATCGTCCGGTAACAAAAAAAAATCGTCTTGGCGCAACGTAATAGATGTTGGAAACGTGTCGCGGATCTTATCAGCCAACGTACTTTTTCCACTACAGGTTGCTCCAGATATACCAACGACAAACCACTGTTTCGACATTTTCACGTTGCCAGTTTTGTAGCAGTGCTCGACGCGATACAGAAACAAAAGTTTACTCTATTGAACACGTTGGAGTAAACGTGGAGTGTGATGTAGCATCGTTATATAACCAAACATTCACCGTTACGGCACGTATATTCGTGCATGTATATCACGTGGTTGTACGTACAAGTATTTAGTATTAGGCACGTAACACAACGTATATGATGACGCCGTACGATGATAACACCAGTCAATATCACTATATGTTTTGATAACTTGTTACTGACGTTCTACTCCGCTTTCTCTATTTTATAAAATAAGTACGGTTTCACATGATACACGGTAAAGAGTATCAAACCACCGATGAAAATTAGTCCGAGACTCGCGGGAATTACGAGGGCCAGATCATGCGAGTAAAAAAGAGATTTCAATCTATCGTCATCGATGAACGGCAGACCGATTACCCACACGGTATAATACAGAAACAAGACAGATGTCAATATTAATACTGCTTTTCCTTTTTTACGATCGCTGTCGAACATTGTTGATCGTTTCTATTTTAATTTTGTCTCAGTTTGCACCGTGCGCTATTCCTTACACGTCACGGTCACTATCAATATCATTCCACATATTCTCGCTCAAACTTGTTGAAATCTTCTTCCGTGAAAGCTGTTTCTTCCGATTCCTTAGGTTTTTCTTGTCGTTGAATGTATCTCTTTCCTACAGCACGTTCCAACAGCTAAAAAATATATTCATGGATTAAGAATAAGTTTCAGGAATATACCGTACTCGCGATAAGCCTGTTTGTTTTTAAGTTTTCAATTATTATTATTATTTTTTTCAACTTTAAATGTTCAAGTTTCTTTACGTCATACCCACGAGAGAAGCAAGATAATATCTATGAAAGGTATGGGAAATACAGGGTTAAAAAGTTTATAAGACATAACGTTCTCATACACTATTTGCTGTTCCAGGATTTATCCGCGTACTACTAAGTAAAAGGAGTCGTTGTACATTTTCGTCGGTAGGATCTTTTTGAGTAGCTAAGCGTTTCTGAGTCTCGTAAACAGTAGTTTTGCTGGATCGACCCAAAATAGTACCGAGATCTATAAAAAGAAAGTATAATTTTATTTAATTTTTCCTATGTATCCATCCAGTATATAATTTAATAACACGATAATCACATGAAAGATTATATTAAAATATTATAATTAAATAATCTACTTATTTTCTAATCTATAATTATATGAAAGGGGTAGGAGCAGTCGATAACCTGTCTTATCGTTTTTAGAGATAACCCTGTGTTTAGTGGGAATTAGATCCAAGGCTCCTTTATATCTGATATCCTTACGTTTCTTCTTCTTCCTTTGCTCTGTAAGTTGTCGTTTGAAATAAATACTTCCATATACAATTGATTTATAAACACACACACACACACGTGGTTTTAATAAACTAACCTTTCTGCAAATCTTTCTCGTAACCAAATAATTCTAAGCTTTTATGCACGAGTGAATTAGACATTTCTCTAAACGTCGCGATACTGCAATTTAATTTTTACAATGTCGCAGATTACTTATTAAATCGCTAAAAGACATTATCAACGAGATTATCCTGAGACCGATTAGACGCTGCTCACAGTGCTCACTGCAGTCACTGCTGCTACTGTGCTACTACACGTTATGCGTTATGCCCGTATCACACTAGCGCGTGACGATTGCGTCTACGTTTGCGTTTACGTCTCTAGACCAATCAAAAAGTAGCTGCTGGCGCGTGCGATTCGCAATTTCCGTTCTGCGTGGTCAAAGTCAAAAGACGTAGACGCAAACGTAAACGCAATCTTTTCATAAAATTTGTGTAAAATTAGGGCTTTTATATAAAGTCTATATTCCCCGGAAGACATAAATATTCCTACGCATAGGCCTGTTTTTATTTTAGCTGAAGTTCTTGCACGATTCATCTTTCCTCTTTTTCTTTTCACGTTGCAGTGTGCCAGAAGTGACCCAGGGGGTCGATTCTGTATCTTGGGACGAGGTGAAAATTACAAAAGTGAGGAAATTCACTAGAGAATCTACAATTTTATTTGTCGAAATCTAGTAAATCTGTTCACTTTTGTAATTTTCACCTTTTCCAAAGATACAGAATCGACCCCCAGAAGTTCAGCACCAAGTTCAGGTAAACAGAATAGACCCCATATACACTGGCACCTCTGCTGGCTCCTGAGAGAGAAACCATACGCACACACATGTGTGTATGCCATGTGTCTGTGTGGTGTAGTGTAGTGTGTGATTACAGCTGTGACTTGTGTCTGTGTGTGTGTGAGACGAGCCTGAACCGCTTGACAGCCGAATGCCGTGATAGCCGATTGCTGATATCATATGTAACGAACATGGCGGAATCTACGAATAATTCGGAGGATGACCGACTGTCATGTAAGATCTTGATTATTGGTGCCGGTATGGCTGGATTGTCGGCGGCGACTCATTTATTGAAGAACAACGAGACGGATTTTCTCATGGTCGAAGCGCGCGGACGCATAGGTGGACGAATCATCGCGGTGCAACTCGGTACGATTAGCCTAACCTCTTCTTATCTTGTGACAAAGTGTTTAACTTTAACTCGCTTCTAAATTTATTTGCTCGGTGATATAACCGAAAGTTAAAGTGACCGAGTCTATACGTATAGCAGTAATACATTAGGAGATTTAAAATCAATGCTTACTTTCATAACATTTCAATGTGTACAAATTCTTGTCAATTATAGGTATATGTATATGTGATGATAGAGAAGATGAAAGACGGAATAGAATCAGTAGTTTTACAAGATATACCTATTTATTTACTTATAGGATGAGCTTTTGAAGTAACATACATTTAGATGGATTTTGTAGGGCATTGATCTGAATATACAAGTTCATGTGTAAATGGAAAAATATTGTTTGTACATTTGGTAAACTTAAAAAAAGAAAATATATTTGTCAAATCTTTTGTGAAAAGTCTTTTTATCACACGTGTATATTTTATTATTTTTATAATATAAAATAATTTTATTTGACTATTTAAGTCTGAAACACAACAGACTGTAAGACATTCATTTTCTCTGTATACAAGTAAAATGAGATGTTACTGCTACCATTCGTTTAAGAAAATGATAAAAGACTGTCACAGTATACAGAATATATATAAGTTTTTTTCCCCGTCTATCTTATCCAGGCAATGAAAAAGTTGAGTTAGGAGCAAACTGGATTCATGGAGTATTAGGTAATCCCATGTTTGAGTTGGCGATGGCGAATGGTTTAATAGACATTGTACACGTGCCGAAACCTCACAAAGTAGTGGCAGCATTGGAAGATGGGAAACAGTTGCCATTTCCCGTGTTGCGAGAGATTTATGAGGCTTACGTATGCTTTTTGCGACGATGCGAAGAATACTTCTTAAGCACGTATAGTCCACCGGATGGTATAACCAGCGTAGGGGCGCACATCGCCCTGGAAGCAGAGATTTATCTGTCGTCTTTGCCACCTGAGCAACGAAGAGTAAGACAACTGATCTTTGACTGTTTACTCAAGAGAGAAACCTGCGTCACAGGCTGCGACAGTATGGACGACGTGGATCTCCTGGAGATGGGCTCCTACGACGAGCTTCAAGGTGGTAATATCAGTCTTCCGAACGGGTATAGCGTTATATTGGAGCCAGTTTCGAAACATATACCAAAGGACCGTATTCTTACCAAGCATGCCGTAACAAAGATTAGGTGAATTTATACGTTGCACGAAATATTTATATTCGAGGAGCGAGAAAATGCATTCTAATATACATATATGTTATATATAAAAAGACTGTAATATTAACGTTATTCCGTTTATTTTAGATGGCAAAAACAAAAGTGTCGCCAAGACGATGTCGGTCTTACGGAAAAATCTGTTTCTAAATCGAATAATAGCCTTATAGAAGTACAATGTGAAAATGGAAAGACGATCACCGCGGAGCATGTAATATGTACGTTACCGTTGGGCGTTTTAAAACGGACAGCTCAGGATATGTTCGAACCGTCGTTGCCCGCATATAAACTCGAAGCGATAAACAGACTGATGTTCGGTACAGTGAATAAAATATTTCTCGAGTACGAACGACCTTTCCTAAATCCCGGTGTATCGGAAGTGATGCTCCTCTGGGATGACGAGCGATTATCCGAGACGGAGAAGCGGGATATCGGCAAGACCTGGTTCAGGAAGATATATTCGTTCATCAAGATCTCGGACACGTTGCTGCTCGGTTGGATATCCGGTCGCGCGGCGGAGTACATGGAAAAACTGAGTACCACTCAGGTGGCAGAAGTGTGCACAACGATCCTACGGCGATTCCTCAATGATCCCTTTGTACCGACTCCGAAGAACTGTTTGCGCACCACGTGGCATTCTCAACCTTATACGCGAGGTTCTTACACCGCGATGGCTGTCGGAGCGAGTCAACTGGATATCAGGAGTTTGGCCGAGCCGTTGGTTCAGGAGAAAACGGAAAACGAGACTGACGAAACGGTGAAAATTTTGGTGGCATTTGCGGGCGAACATACCCATTCCTCGTTCTATAGTACGGTACACGGGGCGTACTTGACTGGTCGAACAGCGGCTGACGTACTATTGGGCACCAAACAAAGTGAGAAGCACGCGTTGAATCTTAGTTGCGAAGATACTAGCGATCTCAGCTCGTGGATACAAGGTATTTCTTTAAATTAATGTATATTTGTTCAAGAAAGAAAATGTGTGACGCGTAAAGACGTTTATAGACATATTTAGGCCGATATACATACGCGTTTACGTTTGTGCACGTGCTTTCTTCTTGTAAATATAAGAGTGTAGTGAGACACGTGTCATTTTACACGTTACATTATGTACATAATGGTGCTTCTTCAGCTTTTAAGATTTTACACGTACACGTGGGTGACATGTGCATTTATAATAACTCTTAAAAAAATAACGAATAACGAATAAAGCTTAGATAGGATATCGAAGTTGTGTATAGGCGACATCGTATACGACGATGTCACAAATGTTATAAATGACACGAATATATTCGGTGAAAATATTTAGGTTTAGATGTGAGAATGTCTTGAAAATGATGACGAACAATGGTACGTGTTCATGCAAACGTTTATTTTATAAAACCGAACGAACCGATATGTTCGTTGCTATAAAAACTCGTGTAGATAATATAGTTTACCAAATCGAATTCAAAGATATAAGCCTAAGTATTTGCGCGAAACATAACAACATTTCTAACAATATTAGTCTTTTCATGTGTTGTGTATATATGTATATTTGGATATACATATACATAATGTGAATGAACTATTGAGATTTATAAAGAACTCTCTCTTTGAAAGTGCCGCGTATACTTTTTATTCTTAATTTCCTCGTTTGCATTTATTCTCAGATGCGACGTACTCGCTTGCTTGACTTTTTTATTATCACCTATTATTATACATTGTACTTATCGTTTAGAAAAAAAAGGTTCCATTAGGGATCGACTTTAATCTAGTCATTGAACGTGAGATATATAAAAAGGTATTTGATAAAGAATAACAATATAACAACGTGTATCACGCACGATACTGAAACATTGCAGTTCTACGAGGTAGAACTGGTATTCATGTACGTATTTTACGTTTCTAGAAGCACGTATGTGCCATAGATTGAGTATTAGTATTAATCTTTAAAATGTTAAATGAAAGAAGAAGATTCGAAACATCTATCTTTTTGAAATAGTCCGATTATAACATACATGTGTAAATTCACGAAATTAATGAAAATAAAAGTAATTGTTTATTAATGAACGTCGTGTTTCGTGGGTTATGTTTCTTTGATATTATAATTCTAGCATTTGAGATATAAAATTAATCTATCGAATTATTTTTTTAGAACATACATGTTTAATGCTACACGTGTATTGGCTTTTTATCGTATTGAGGAAAAGAAAACAGCAAATAATTTGTATATTATAACTGATACATATAACATTGTTTCACATGATATATTTTATTTCTTTGCCATGATTACGAATATAGCTTTATAATTTTATGACTATTTTCAACTGAATAATCTGTTACGTGTTATCAAAGAAATAATTTAAACAAGAGAAAAATTATTTTTCTTTATTTAATTAATAGTTGTTATAATTTATACTATATATATATATATATATATGTGTGTGTGTGTGTGTGTGTTTTTTTCACGTGCTTGCGCTTGCGTGCGTGTGCGTGTGTGTACGCATATGCACGCACGCGAAAAAATAATAGTGTAATATAATAATTATTATTATAATGCCACACACACACACACACACATTGATTTGATGATAATTTCATAATAATTATTATTTTAATGTTGAATACTACACTACGTATCACTGTAGCACTGCAATAAAATATTGATGAAACACGTAATAAAATATTATTCAACGTTACTCTTATAACTGAAAATGATCGTACAGATGATAATTTTGTGTATCAATTTAATAGGCAGTATAAAAAGAGATAAAGGTTTACATTTCTATGTCTGAAACCATTATTTCTTTTAGCATATTATATCTGGAAATAATACTTTTTTGTATCACAATATTTTTTTCTATTTATTCGTCATGTTGCCTCTTTACGTGCTTCTTTTATTTAGTCTACGAAATGTATAATGTATAAAATTCATATTTTTTCGTATGGTTAAACCTGAGCCGATACATGACCATTATGTTATGACGACAAATGGTTACATCAAGGATCAAAGATGTAATCAAATGTATTCGATTTTATAGCTTAACTATTGTGTAATGCTATATCACACTTACGTGTGATAAAGAAACTAATATCGAATACGTGTCAACGGCGCCTATAACGCATGAGCGAAAAAGATGTCGCATAAGCAGACGTGCCAATGTTTGACTATGCGCGATCGTTGAAATGACTTGAGTAACGCGCTCCAACTTGGTACGCTCATCTAGCGACGATTAAAGTGATCGCTTGTAAAGCAACGTGATATTTTATCGGGATGCAAAATACATATCCTTGTGCGAACGTCATCATAATTCGACGTTGGAACCGCTGCGACGAACGTATCGATTGAAGTAATCCGGCCGCCAGCATTTACAGCTTCCCGGTACCAAGAACCAGTCGTAATATAGCCGTACCTAAAAGAGAGGATAACAAAGATACAAGAAATGAATAAATCTACTAAAGATTTTTGTTCACTTTTATAACATTTTATAACATGAGATATGTTAGATATGTCGGCCGCAGAGAACAATTAAAAAAGAAACTATATAAGTTTTGAAAACACGTGCGCTTTGTAAAAAGTGATGCTCGCGTACCGAAAGAGAGTAGCGTAAGCGAGATGCGAGATAAAAAAGGTCAAGATTTAGCTCTTACTTGGAAGCAACCCATTTCGTCGACACCGTCACAGTGATGTTGCTGAGCACTGTTACCACCACTGTTACGCGCCTCTCCCGTGCTCGCGCGTTTCTGCAAATATTGCTGATAATTTTGAAAATCGTGAACCGGTGGTGGCGACCCGGCAACAGGATCTCGAGTACCAGATCCGATACTAGAACCGGGAGCAGTCGCTTGATTCTCCTCTAGGAACGTGTCTGGGTAAAATATTTCGGCGACCAATAGACTCGTCCATCTCGGCGACGATAAGCATCCACCATCCAAGAAATGGCATCTCGATTGCCTGCAACGCAACGACGAAGACTTTTACACGTTTAAATATTAATATACTACCCTTACGTAAACCTTTAACTTTAGGCGCGCGCGCGGTTCGTGCTGATAATTCTGCAAATCGAATTAAGGACGATCCGAAGGAAATCCTACATGCATCTGGTGAGCTCGATCGTCTGCGTAAAGTAACCTTCGTAAGGTATCTGCACCACGTATCTCCAGACACCTTGGTAATTCTTGGCGAAGACCGGAGTCGCGTACTCGACTTTGGCTGGACACGGCGTCGGCGGGCCCGTATACTCCGTTTTCTCCTGCGATGGCACGCGTTCTCCTCGACGATAATCGGACGTCACGGACGAAGGTTCATCCCGGCGTTCGATGGCCGATGCTGACGATGCGATCGGCTCGCCTTGGATCGCTTTATACAACATGCACACTCTGTTTGTCAGGATAAAGAAACAAACAACATTATTAATACTAAGATACTACTAAGATGGAAGCTCCATTTTCAAAAACTCATGTATACGTTAAATACTGTCGATCCCTCGTTACTTCGTACTACTCGCGTAATGTTGTGTTCCTTAAAAGATTCGCAAATAAAATAGTCCGTTATGCCTGATTCTCTAATATTGCGAATCTAATATATGCATGCGTGAACGTTGAAATTTGAAACTTTTGAAATAGTGAAATATACTTACACTCCGCTACCGTTTTCGCAAAACTTGCGACCATTTCGCGTGGAGTCTGTGGGTAAAATCGAATCCAATGGACTAGATCTTTTGCTTCTACCATGTTTTTCTTCGTCGTCTGTGTCAACACTACGAGGAGAGATTATTAGCTGGTTTGACCGGCATCCGGTATTAAGAAAAAAATTTAATACATAATAAATGTTGTAGTATTTACTTATAAAAAAAAAGAAAAAACAATATATCATGTATATATCTTTATTTAAAAAATTGAGTGAAAATACGACAGAAATATGAAGACGATATATGTATCGTTGAAACTTAATTTATGGACAACGTTACATTTGGACTACTTACGAATTTTGCGACAATGAATGCACTTTGGCGACCTTTGGCAGCGAATCGTCAGCCTTGAGAATCGGTAATGCCTTACTGAGGAACTTGAGAGTATGATTCTTTATCAGTGCGCTGCGGAAAAAATTTTACTTATTAACGTGTTAATTAAATAAGATCGTTTAAAAATACTGATCTCTCCTAAATTTACTTGATTTATTTTTCACTTACAAAGGATACGACGAGCCATTTACATATTGGTTCATCGGATTCCGTGGAATATAGCCTTTGTTCAAATCTCCGCAGATATTATGTATCGAAACAAATCCTTTTCCATGCTTGTCGCTACCTATATATAAGAAAACAATATATAAAAACGTTGATTCTCAGTATTGAGAATCAAAGTGCTGAGATTCAAGTCCGTGTCGCCTTTCTGTGATTTCTTATTTATTAAAAAATACAGATATTCAACTATTATTAGAACTTGGCCGACGGCGACAAATAAATACGGGAACAAAACTCTCTTGTAAATTATAGCAGGCGAAACGTTAAACGCTATTATATGATAGTATTATAAAAGAATATCGAAGCCGATGTAACGGTTTTTGTCAGTACGTAGTTTTAGTCTTAGGTATCGCTTTGCTTCTCGTACTATCGTACATTTCGGACCTACCGTAACATTCTTTGTCGCTGTCAATGTAGGGCGGTGGTCGAACTCTGGGTGGTTCCGCGTTCGGTGACTCGACGAACGCGTAATATCCCTCCGGAGGTTCTTCCGTTCGCGTGGACTCGTTGTCGTTAGCAACCGGTTTAGTATTTTTGGACTTCTCTTCGGCCGAATACGACGATGCACACAAGAGTATCATCTAAACGATAATATCTTGTTTTTACGAAAGAAAAACTGATGTGTACATTAACGTGGTTGCATAGATACGTATATGTATTAAATTGCAAATATTTCTCGCTTTTCCGCTCGAAAAGTTTAGTCTGCTCTTTAATAAGATTGATTATTGTACGTATATCTCGCGAAAAATTACATTAGCCGAGATAATTTCTGAAGAAAATTCTGAAGAATTCTGAAGAATTCAATAATACCTAGCTCTCTACGTTGAACTTGAATTAATTTCTTCTATATACGTGTAAGAAACGAGACGGAAAATGACGTATACCTACGTGTACCTATAACTATATTATTGCGTATATAATATATATATGTATCTATATAACATTCTTGGATTTTGTCGCACGCAATCCTTTTTTTATTGTCTTCATCTTTCCGCTACAACGTCAATCTTTTTTTTTACATAAATGAATATCAAGTGGATAACGGCTAACAGGTATTACGTTACAGGTATCGCGTCGGCACCGGCGATGATTACGAGATATTCCCTCGTAGTTACCGAGGTATGCGTACGATGCTAACGGTACACGGTCCACGCTTCTCGCTGCGGGCTGTTCAGCCTATTTTATAACGTGCGTGTTACTCGAGCGTGTTGTCCTACTAACCGAGGCATTATACCGTTCTACTGACGAATCTTCTTTTACACATTCAGGGGCCACGAACTCGGAGGAAAAATACCAAGGTATACACATGCTCGCATATGTTTTTCTTCTTCTCATCTTCTCAACTTTCCGAGACATCCCTAAAGTATGTAGTTTATCACACACCCTGTTGTACGTTGCGAGTTTATCTATTAATTTTGTTAAGGCTGAGAAAGACGTTCGCATAGCAAATGGTAATCTACTGATTTTTCCTTCTCACTCTTTTACGCTAAGAAGCAGGAACCATTGGTTCAAGTATCGTAGATATGTATAATATGATAAAACGATAAACTAATCGAGACCAATCTTGCGCAACAGCAATGCACTGCGCTCAATAAAATAAATCTACCGTCTCACTTATAGGAAGATAGGAAAGAGCTTCTGTCGATTTCTCGTCGATTGGCGAAATAATATTATCGGCAACATCTATCCATATAAAATCATTCATATTTTGTCTGTGATTAACTTTATTGTCTGCGTGAATCGTAACGTGCGCGCGCGATAGCCCGGTTTACTTCCAGCATACTCGATGCGTATAGGAAGATGTAATTATTAACTAGTGAGTCTCTGATTAAACTACCGTGTAAATTTATCGATGGAATTTGACGATTTTTTAACGTAAGAATTCTTCCCGTTGCAAAAGGTGGATGTCCGTTCTACTTTCTTGCAGTAGATCCGAGCGTTAGGAAGTGCCGATACAGTTACTAGGACAATGACGTCTCCGAACCGGTATCGACAGAAACGGTAGACTCGATTTATTTAGCGGGACATGGCCGTAGATTGCTGACGTTCGCGCGAATATATCCGTCGCGAGTTTGCTTCAAGAATAACGCGACTCAAAAAATTGTCATTTTGGTTTATTTCTGACGCTGTGATTTATTTGCATTAAATGGCCTCTGGTACGTTTGTACCTGTTTTCAAAAAAACTCCCTCGAATATTGCGTCACTTTTACAAAAAAGATATAATAGCACACGGACGATCATATGAGACGCGTTGATAATTAATTGTTCCTTTCATTAAATTTACGTGCATTAAATTTTTTATACGTCGTTCTCATATATACAACTGACTTTTTTATATTTTTCTTGCTTTCACCCGCAGATTCTTAGAGTTTAAATAACAGAAGTGTTTGAGAATCTATGAATTATTTACACACAATAAACTTTAGCTTTGAAAATAGATTAAAATTTTTTTTATTTAATTTATTAATTAAATTTCTTTGTCAGAGTATTTAGAGTTATCTTTTTTATTTTACCTTTTATTTCGACGTATGGATAATAAAAAGTTAGAAGTAATATTGATGCCTACGTGTCAAGTTTTTGTTGAGAAAACATTGCTATTAAATTTGTCAAAGATGCGTCCAAAGATGAAGTTGAGGCACGCCACATGATTCGTTTAATCTGAATATGATCGTAAAGAGTAGATGATAAAAATAATATTCGTAACTTACGACAAATATGCGAAATTCCATGGCGTGTTAATCCACTATAAAGGTCGAAGAAGAAATTTCCGTTTGCAATAGCCGCGGCTATTAAGAGTTTCTCGAGACTATCTCGCGAGCCGGTCGGGCCTGTCTACCAGCCAACGGTCATAGCAAAACTGAATTTCTCGTCACCCTCATCGCGCCGCTCAAGGAGCCAACTTACCTTCACCTCGATCATGTATTTGACCGTCCGCGTTGTGCGGTAGAGGAACGGACTTCGGTATTCAGCCCGCCGCCGCCGCCGTCCGTTAAAGACCACGAATATAATACAGAGTACGACCGAAATCGCAAGAAATAAGGCAAAAATTTTCTACAATATATTTTTTGGTATTAAATTTTGTTTGAGAGGAAACGAATTTTCAAACGACGACGTATACTGTATAAAGACATCTTCGTGTGTTACTTAAAAAGCACGTGTTTTTATTTCCTATTTATGATTTATTATTAAAACTAAATGGTGAACTCTTATCCGAGCACAAGTCAACGAAACGAAGGAATAGTCGTCCGTACGTAATCGCGAGTAGAAATTTTTTAGGTTTTTAATCGTGCGGATAATTGTTATTGTTATTACGTGTTTGTGTTGGTAAAATTTTTCAGTGTAAATTATACAAAATATACGTACTTTATTTCGACACGTTGTCGTTTAGAATATCGACATTGGTTATATATTGAATCAAATAATGAGATAATATTTAACGTAAATAGCGATTAATAAGTGACATTCAGCTCTGTCTCGTCTTTGTGATAAATCATAATGTCTTTCAACAGCATGTTAGATCCATCGTAGCGGAAATTGGAAACAGGCTTGTCCAAGGGGAATCCGTACGGCTTGTTATCGAATTTGTAACCACCAAACACGCGAGACATGTAAGGGATCGGTTCTCCTTCGACCGGGTTGACGTACACGAAGATCTGGAACGGCATACCCTCCTTTTTGCCCTTGGGCAAGAGCAGCCGCTCAGGAAATCCGTAGATTCTTTCCGCATACGAGAAGGAATCGGAATTGTCCAAAGCCTTGAGCACTTTCTTGTATAATATCTCGCTCGGCTCCGGATCGGGTATAGCGAAGAAGCACGCTTGACTGTTTCGAACAATCTTGTTCGCACCGGCGTTCACTGTAACGTTCACAGAAAGGATCGAATTAAAACCTTTTTTTCTTACATCTATACATATATATGTATACAGGAATCAAGTTCGATCGTATACGTAGCAAGGAATTAAATCACGAGATACTAACGATCGACTATCCAGTTGTCCATTTCATAAAAGTATTTCGCGTATTCAGCGAAATCCAACAGTTTGTGATGAATGTCATACTTTGGTCCGAGGAAAATGCGTATCACGGCTTTCATAGATTTCTCGGCGTTGATAGCGAGATGGAAGCTGAACGGTTTGTGATTGAGACGATATTGGCGAATTTTGATCAACGTCTTCTCAGCTTCCTTCGCGTCGTCGATCATCAAACCGTTGTTGATCGAGGTGTCGAACTGATCAAAATAGGTAATTAACTTGTCTACGACGAAGGACTCGATCTTCACGTCGGGATAGACGATTTCGTCCTTGTTGTACGGTTTTTGATGCATTTTGTACCTAAAAATCAATCATATTCGTCGTGTTGAAAGAAGGTTGTCATTTTAATAGGGTTAACCACTTGTCTGAGAATCTTATCTATCTTACTAGGTAATACCTGTAATAGTAAGACAATATTCTTTTGTAGAAACGATAGAATGCGGGATCTCTCATGGACGTGCTATAAAACTCGAGGGCACTGGGCACAATCTGGTAGGGAGTTGACGGCTCCAAGTTGTATCCAAAAATCTTTCTCGCAAAGAGATCGATGCTGCCGTAAAAATCGGGATTGCAGGAATCCACGTTGCCCTCGAGGATGTTGCCAAGGATGTTGAGACCCTCGGGTGTGTAGATGTTGATCATTTTGCCAGTTGCGTCCAAGACAAATCCGGAGTCAATGGCCGCCGATACTCGAGATTCCATGTCTTCTATTTCCTAAAAGTGCGGCAACAGATTAATTCATATTCACTCGCTGTACGTATCGCCCACTGCAGTTGCATTGGATGACAAAAGCAAAAGCAAAAACAAAAAATAAAATGAGCAATCTTAATAAGCATTTTTTCTGTCTATATCACGAGATAACGCAAGATATAACGTATCCTACGCGGTCAACGTTCTTCTTTTAGTAGTAAGGCTATAAAGCTAAACCGCACCTTCATGTACTTGTATTTGTAGTAGGGGAATTTGCTCCAGTACGGTCTCTGTGGCATCGGCAATCCGTTGTGATAGGTCATTGTCGGATAGTATCCGACGTAGAATTCATTGTGCCAATCGAAATCTTCAATTCTACCAATGTCGTTGGACAACCGCTCCAAATAATAACGGGACAGCAATTGTTTGTGACCGTAAAGATAATCTATCCCGCGATTCTTCTGCAAGCCGAATTCTTCGCCCTTTAGCCAGAACGGATAGTCTTGCCGCAAGTAGAAGTAGAAAGCGTTCAAGCCAATATCCTCGGTGAAATAATTAATTTTGTGTTCCAAATCGTACTCGCGCGACACGTACCATCCGGAATAATTTGCCGGAATGATGTAGGTGTCGTAGCCACCAAACTTGTTCGAATCTACGTCAAATATCAATATTAAAATCATATAGGTATACACGGGTATATATAGACTGACGTACTAGACATCTATAAAGGTAATTTTTTTAAATTAAATCTTTGTAACCGCAAGTATGCGTTAATGGAAAACAAAAAAAAAAAGATTAAAAAACGGTTGACGTGTAACTTTACAATATCAAAAGTTTATTATAATCTTAGAAGGCTCGAATGATTAAAAAAATCACGGATTTTGACCTAATTAAAGATTAAGACAATAACTACACGTTGTTACGGCCTTTTTTCACTTACGTACCAAAGATTTAATTAAAAACTTGAAATTTATATGGAAAATAAATATCTACGATAAAAAAAATCGCACGACTTTTTGAAAGTTGCATACATTATTTTGTTCAATTTGCGAACAAACTTCCGGTTTTCAGCATAAGTTTCAGCATACGTAGCAAGAACGGACAACGTTGATTGAAACTTACCAAGTTTACCGAAGAGTTTTGCATGATGCGCCTTCTCGAGTACTTCGGAGTTGAAGAATCCGTACGGATACATTTCATAAGGAGGCGGCAACTGAAGGAACTTGGTATCGTCGCGGAGCATAACCGCGGTATACAGGGCCTCACCAAACTGCATCTCGTTGATGTAAATGCGCGCCCATAGCGCCGTTTTGTAGAAGATGTCGAAGTCCTTGGCATAATAGAATAGGCGAAATAGCGCCTCCGTTTCCTCCCGAAGCTTTGGATAGTACAGAGAGTTGAGCTCGCCACGAGGAAGCATGCCATACTCGTATAGATAGAGGAAGTTCTTCACCGCAGCCTGGAAAACGATTCGAAGGGATCCATATGGATGAATATTTGTTAAAAGGTGCCGAAGGATACGTATTGATGCGATTATGATTACGGGAGGATGATTCTATATATGTTTACCGTATTAGTATACGAATCTATGTTGGCTTCGATATTGTACGAGCGGCCTTCCTCGTACAATGAAGGATTCACGAGGGAGGGTTGCGAGATATAGTATAGAAGATTATAGATTTTCTTCTGCTTAAGGAGGAACTCCTTGTCGGCGATCTTGACGGTATTATAGTCGGCTGCTACCAGACTGAAGCTGATGGCCGCAACGACGACTAATATCGCCAGGAACTTCATTTCCCAAACTTTTCCAACACCCATTGTAGGCGAGATCAAAATTCTGAATGGCGCTCGACGCCGCGCGCTCGCACTTTTATACACCTACGTCGAGCGCGCAATCAAATCGATAGGTCATAAGGGCACTGAACGAATCATTTTCGATATCGGATCGGCGAGCTCTTCGCTCTTGTACATATTTCTCACACATTCTCACTGACAGCTGAATATGCTATTAGGTATTATTCCTATCGATTTTATTATCAAATAGATCGTGATCATGAATATAAACGTAGTCGCCGTTTTTTATCTCGCAGTTAATCACTATTTACTTAATTTCAATTATCTTTAATTGGTTAATAGATATAGACTAGTTTATTTGCTAATTTATGATTATTTCCCATTGTGTGTTCCGACAAGATAGCTTGTTGAGTGTTGTATTTGGTACAGTACGTCTACTTAATTCATGTAATATATAAATGCAGCCTTTCTTAATTTTCAACATATCCGCGGCGAAGAGGATTAAGAATAAGAGGCGGCAATAAACGGTTCACCCAATATATATATATATATATATATATATATATGTCATATATACTAATGATTTCTCTGTGGTTAACTGCGGTTATGCCTAGCAGTCGCGCCAACAGATAAACGCCGTTGTTAAAACGAATATATCGTTAATCGGAAAGCTGAAAAGATTCGTTCTCGTGCAAGAGGTCATCTCACGCGGGATATATCTTCAAACACACCTAATCGCGATCGACACGAGAGTATACGTTTGCGCAAGTTCTATCGCAGTGTGGATCGTATTTCCAATAACGAATGCAGGCTAAAATGCTTAAAAACTGTCCCCTTAAGGAATACGCTAACACAAGATTACGTGTAACTGCACAAATACAAATATATATTACAAATAATGTGCTTTAATCACGCATGATCACATGACTTATTTTGACTCAAATCTAAACTATAAGAGTGTCTTATGTACATACATCAAGTAGTATCTACATCATTTCATTCAGTTTCAGTATCTAGATCTCGCGCGATACAATTTTATAGACCTCATAGAATTCTTTTTTAAAATGTTGTTTTTCAAACTCTATCTATAATTTTGAACTTGACATGAGACGCGATACATAATTTATTGATAAAAAATCGCTTACGTATTAGTATAACTTTTGGATTTATCAGTTAAAAATTTTTAATTTTTTATTTGTAAGATTAAATTATTTTATAAATATTTATCTTTCCATTTTGCTATAAGATAGTGAAATATTCCTACCAGCCTGGTTTATATCTTCACATCGTGATATACATATATGCTCTAGCTAATACATACTCATTAATAAAAGTTAAAGAGTCAATATAATTAAGTAATAACGTGTTAAATATATTTTACTTATTTGTTTATATAAATGTAATTATATATTATAACTATACCAAGTACATTACAAGAACGTTTTTCGTAAGGTAAATAAGAAATTTCTTTGATATACTTGAAAATCTGCTGCATATACGGCGGAATAATATATAAATCAAAACAAACGATTCGCTTTGTTCTTAACTGTTGTTAGTGAATGTCACGTGCGTAGGTATTATACTTGGAAATTTGATAGACAATAGATACCTACACTTATTTCATGCAGCACGATTAACGCGTCGCGTCGTCGGCGGTAAAAATTTTGTACAATAGATCGATAGCGCAACAGCTGTGCTTAGATGATGGAAAAAAAATACGCGATTAATTAAGTATGCCGCCGTCTCGAAAGGTCGTATCTGAACGTTCGTAGAATAATTAATAAGCCTCAAGATGTCCTCGTTTTATGACCCATGATAAGCACTAACTAAATAAGCCCGCGCCGCTGTGCCATCTTGACTGCGTATAATTGAGTTAGCATAAAGCATATAATCATTTGTGTCTCTTAACAATGACATTTGACGACGGTATATTATACAAAAATAAATTAATCCACAAAACTAAAATAGATATAGTAGATGCACAAAATACCGTATTGAGCATACGATTATATGCTCTTTTTAAACATTTTAAATCAAAATTACTAGTCGCTCGAATTTTGTACAATATACATACATCATTCATTAAGACTCAATCAGGTATAAACGACACGTAAATAAATTTGAATCTTTTAACGATAAATCGTCCGTTGACGAATCTAATAATCGTTAGTTTTATAAGATCAATAATGATACGTACTTATTTTATAGATATCAAAAATATTTTTTAAAATAATGATTAACGATTTTTGGAAATAATGACGACGTTTAAATGTTTGCACTACGTTCAACCGATAAAATTTATCATTTGTGTCGAAGTAAATATGTCAATCATGTTCTTGCATGCATGCTATAACGTGTATACGTAAAATATAATACACGTTATTTCGAAATGTATTATTTACATAAAAAGTACGAAATCCACATTTCTATTGAAAGAATTTATTTATCGTGTATTATTATCATATATTTGCAATGGCTATAACTCGCATACTTATCTATCTGTCGCGCATGCAATATTACATCTTGAAATATCAGAATTTAAAAAAATTATTTTTTGTTCGTCATATTTATACGTATTACGCATACGCAGTGGAGATGATTGGTTCAATATTTCGTTCTGTATTTTTTGTCGTTCCTCCTCGCGCTATTCCATGTTTTCTCTTTTAAACTTCGTCCTCTTGCTCTCATCATATCTATGTATCGCTTTGAGTAGAAATAAAAAGCAGAGGAGAAACTGATAAGAGATAAGTATAGCTTGAAACTTTCTTCTTTCTTATTCTAATAGATCACGATTTAAATAGAAGATCGATTCGGGAATAAAGGATCGACCAGAATAGAATTTAAACGCGAGAAAGCCAAGACAGAAATAAATGGTAAAGGATGTTTCTATTAAATTTATTTCAGATGCGATTTGTCGCAGCGCGGAAATGGTTACACATAAAACATTCGATGATGGAAAACGCTAAGTACACGCGCATTTGTTCTCTTATTTGTACATCTCTTTTCTTGTCAGCGCGATCCGAGTTGTTGTTTCGGCGATCGCACGTGTTAAATAACTATATAAGTGGACAAAGTATGTAAGTGCGAAACTATCATTCGATGATGCGCGCGCGGTAGCGGGGCAACGTGACGACGAGCTTTATACGGTGAGATTCAATTCTTCCGCCGGCTTATGGTAAATCAGAACGTCCCTCGTGTAGAAGTTGGGTACGGTGAAGTTGAAGGTGTGAACCGGTCTATCGAGCGGATATCCCATTGCTCGAGAGTCCATCACGCTTGGACCCCAGACAGGGGACGTCACCTTGATGGCTCGCGTCTCATCCAAGTGCGAAACGCTCACAAAGAGTTTGAACGGCATGCCTTCCTTCTTGCCCTTAGGAAGTACCAAACGGTCGGGAAAACCGTAAAGCTGGCCTGGATAAGTGAAAGTCTCGCCACCCTCGATAGCTTTCACCACCTTCTTGTACAGAACCTCGCTTGGCACCTCGTCCGGAACGACGTAGATGGACTCGTAGCTATTGCGCTCAATCTTGTTGGTTCCAGGTTTCACTGTAACGCGAAATCAAACGTACGTACACCAAATCAACAGTTACGAAGTTATTTGAAATAAAGATCGAAAAGATCGGACGTAATATCGATTGATTGAGAAAAGTCGTTTTGAAATCGAGGAAAGATTTCGTGCGCAAAAGGGATACTAACGGTCAACGTTCCATTGATCCATCTCGATGAAGTTCATGTAATTCTCGCTCATATCCAATTCGTGGCCGTGAACATCGTATTTAGGTCCAAGGAAGATGCGAACGACCGCCTTGACATTCTTGTCGCTGTTGACGGTGATGTGATAGGTAAAAGGCTTATGGTTGAGACGATACTGACGTGCCTTGATCACCATGGATTGAGCTTCTTTGTGGCTGCGCACCGATACGGCATTGCTGACCAACGATTCAAAGTGGTCGAAGAAAGTCAACAGCTTGTCAACGGTAACGGATTCGATCGTCACACCCGGGAAAGCAAGTTCCTCGTGCGTGTAGCTCGGCAAGTGTTCCTTATACCTGCGGGAGACGACATACGTCGGTTAAATAAAAATAATTTCAAGTCATACATCGGCCGGATTATGCATTATATATGATTTGCAGACTCGTCGTACCTCATCCAGTAAGTGACAATGTTCTTGTAGATTCCATAGATGACGGGATCTCTTAAGCTGGTGGTAAAGAGTTCGATAGCGGTAGGACGTGCCATGTGTTTGGTGACCTCGACCGGGCCCATGCCGAGGACCTTTCTGTAGAAATAGTCCAAACGTCCATAATATGCAGGATTGACGGAATCGGCATTGCCCTGTATCGCGTTGCCAAGATGGTTGAAACCGTCTACGGTGTGGTAAATGTCGATATGTTTGCCATGCGCATCAATGACGTAGCCTTTGTCGATGGCGTCGGAAATGCGAGTGTGGGCATCTTGTATGGCCTGTGGGACAGTGTTGCAGACGCGTCACACGTTAATCAATCTATTATTGTTAACAAACGTTTTAGACAACTGAGATACCTAAAGACACCTAGATCGAAAATATATCATCCTATCATCCTATCTTGGAAATATTCTCTCGATGCCTATTGAAAAAACTTGTACAAATTTTTGTACAAATTTTTTATGCTTGGCTCGGATACTTGATAATACGCCTTCTTGATGAAGAAACTGCAGCTTTACCAACCTGGACATGTTTGTGCGCGTGGAGAGGAACCTCGGAACCAACAGGACGTTGTGGGAACGGCAATCCATTGTGATGATGCATCATCGGGTAGTAACCAGGAGCGACAGGTTTATTCACATCGACGTACGAGATTTCACCCATATCGTTGGACAGTCTTTCCAAATAGTAACGATTCAGCACTTGTTTGTGGCTAAACATATACAATTCGCCGCGAATGTGTTGGGGCATGTTATACCGAACGCTATTCATCCAGACTGGGAAGTCGTGAATCGTTACAAAGTAGAAACCATTTAAACCAATATCTTCAATGAAGTAGCTTAATTTTTGTTGTTCCGACATTTCATCTCCACCCATATACCAAGTGGTGTAATTGGAAGGAATATAATAATAATCTACACCACCGACTGTCTTCTTCACACCTACCGAGCAAAATAGTTTTGATCAGAATTTTAATATTAATACCTAACATTTCTTTTAAGTGTTACACTATCTAATTTAACTTATTGTTAATTTAGAAAAGAGAAATTTATAAAACATCCGTTTCCAAAAAATAACGTGCTGTTATGCTTGCTAATTTTAAATCTGAAAGATAATGTTCTAATTGTGGCTCAATATATCGGTTATATTGCTCATAACGTGTTCAAGATAGAAAGAAGTAGATATCGGAATATATTGTAACATTGATTTTTTTATTTCTCTCCGTGGAAGAATGTAAAAATTATTAAACAATGTATAAATATATTTCTAAATAATTTAATTTAAGAAAGCAGATATGGGGGAAAGCTCTTGAAGAAAGATATTATTCGTCTATAAGACTATTTTATGTCACGAACGTAATATATATATATATATTTGGTTCTCGACTAATGTGACCAACCTGCGTGCGAGTCACCCATCGCGATACGATAGGCCTTATGCAAAACGTCCTCGTTGAAGAAGTAATGTGGGACCACCTCGTAAATCGGGGGTAGACGGATGTTTTTGGTATCCGGGCGATGTAACACGACGATACTCAACACGTATACATACATATGTTCGTTCACGTGGAAGCGTGCCCATACGGCAGTATTGTAGAAAGTGTCAAAGTCCTTGGCGGAATATAGAACACGGAAGAGGCAAATCGCTTCTTTGTAATACTGAGGATGACTTCCGTAAAACACTTCTCCCCGTGGGAGCATTCCGTGTTTCCATCGCTGCAGGAACTCGGTCACCGCCGCCTACAACGACAAATCAACATACGGATTATTAGAAAAATTTCATCTATTAACGTCAACCACGAAACTTGTACGAAATTTTAACGGTTTCTCATTCGATACAAAAAAAAGAGCGTGCATGAGAAAATAACTTCTTTTTATTTATAGATGCTAATAAAAATACCTGGTCTGTGAAAGAAGCGATGTTATCTTCGAGGCTGAAGGATCGCGCCTTTTGGTAGAGTTCCGGATGGTAGACGGTTGGCTGGTCGACGTGCCAGAAGAGCTCGTAGATGCTCTTCTGCTTGATCAGATATGTTTTGTCAGCGGTGTGGGAGGGCACCTGCGTGGCATGAGCCAGGCACGCCGCAGCCAAAAGCAACGCAATCGCTTTCATCCTCGTGCTTGCTTCGCGAAGGATCGGCCAGCACTACTCGTCAATTCCTTTATATACTCTCTATCGACGAAAAAGATACAAAAGTTCGGAGTGCAAGATTATGAGACCCATTAGGTAACCAGCATACCGATAATGACCAATTTTTCCGTTGTTTGTGTAATACGTATCTTTATTTGGTAATCGACAATCCCTAATCGTCTACCCTTTGACACGATAGAAATCCGGGATTCGTATTTGCTCATCACCTTCACTTCGCGTTATTTATTTCAAACAAACAAACAAACAAAAAACACGTTGCTCTTTTTCTTTCCTTTATTAAATTCAAAATATATTTCGTTTATCAAAATCTACCGAAATGTCTGTCCAAGTCTGCGTCAAAATACTTCGTTCAACTTATTTGGTCTTTATATCATTGATTAGTTTTGCAACAAGACTGGAAAAAAAATGCAACCATAAAAATCTTTAGCGTAAAAAAAAAGAATATGTGTATAGTTGTATACTTATATAAGAATGCTCATAAATCTCAATATATCGTTACTACAAATATTTCAAGCATTTACCAAAAACTACGTGCAAGGAAGTTTCTAACACAAATTATAACAAATGTAATTTATATAACAAATAATAATATTCCATTGTCATACTTTTCTCATCAAATATCTCTTCAAGCAATTGAAATTTATATTGAAAATCAAAATATGATAAACAAAGATCTCACTTGCATTATTAATAATCAATAAATTATAGTCATATAGATATATATGTATATATACACACACCGCATATATAATATAACAAATATACACATACACATATAACTCGTCACGTCGCGATTAACGTGTATACGTACTTAACTCGGCTTTGATAAATTGTTCCTCGATAATGAAAATTATTATAAACCGTTACTTAACGATTAATAATACATTATTTATGCAAGTACAATTTTTAAATAAATCACAAAAATAAAACTACGTAGTAAAAGGAGAAATGAAAATTTTTGTTTAACTGGTGCCTGTATAAATTCTGTGAAAGATTTTTCTAAGAAATTCTGTATGCAAGAGGAGAATATACAGATGCAGAGAAAGAGCACGCGGCATGCATGCACGCGCGCGCCCGCGTGTGTGTGTAGTGATATGACTTATTTTGAAGTTTCTTTTAGAAAAATGGTAAGAAATTATTTCTCTCTTGTATTTAAAAAATACTTAAATCTGAGAATCAATTTTCACATAATACGTGTGACAAAAAGCTACATATAATATGTCATTGTAAACGCAAGACAAAACTTGAAAACTTTTGTAAATGATAATATTGGAATATGTGCATAAAGATAATGGCGACCCCGGCGACCCGTCGGTCGTGACACGTGACACGTGCCTATTCGAACCCGCTTTCACTGGGATAGACGCGCGTCGCGCGGGGCCTGGTGGAGTGCCTTGCTCTCGAGGACGGTAGCGCACATATCTCGGTTCGTGGTCCCATCTTTTGGTTCAGATCGCGATTCAAGGCAAGAATCGCGTCGATTTCCACCACCTCTTTGCCTTTGGTTTCTCCTCTCTCGAACCATTCTACAGTTACCGGAGACGACTGCCGAGTGAACGCGACCGTCGGCGTCGGTCCTCTAGATGTTGATGCTGCAGGCTGCAGCCGACGTCGATGTTGCACGTACCGTGATCCATGGTCTTGCGGCTCGCGCACCTCGTACGGCACCATGACCATAGCCACCATAAAACGCGCCCGGCTTCCTCCGTTAACCACCACGTGCTACCACGGCTGCCCGGGCCGCCATTGCCCGCGTGCCGCCAACGGGCCCCGGGCCCCGCGCGCGCACGGCCGATTAATCACGTCGGGGCACTCGGCACTCGGGCGCGAGCGCGCGAGTGTGTATCTTTTTATAACTGTATATCGATAAAGCTATGTTTAATGCTCAATATTAACCTATTTCAAGCTAAAATTATAATTTTTTTAAGCAGAAGAATAAATCTTTCAGGATTTTAATTCTTTCATAATATAATATATCGCAATTCTAAAATTACATAAACAAATTCTAAGCTTACAACAATTTACGGCATTTATAACATTTTTGGAAGTATAAAAAGTATTAAAAAGAGTAATAAAGTATAGTTTCGAAGAAATTAGAATAATTAATGTTATTTTATAAATATATTAATTCTGTATAGTACGTATTAATAAGTGTCTTTTATATATATAAGTTATAAAAATATTTGTGCTTTATATATTTCTAATAAGTATTCAAGAAAACTTTCTAATCTAATTTATAGCAAGATTTAAAAAATCCGCTTTATAAAATATTTTCTTTTTAAAATAAAAATGAAATTGAAATAATGCACTTGTCAGAAATGACTTTTTTAAAGCGTGTTCTTCCCTGTAGCCTAAATTGCTTCATTGTATAGTAAAAAACTAAAATTTTCTTATTATTTTGCATATCTATGCACTTTTTTAATGATGATCTAACCGATACACAATTTGAATCTGTAAAAGGCGTTTGTCTTAACGCGACGTATCTTAACAATTTATGCAGATTATGCAGATCTTTTATTTTGATTGTACAATTGATAAATTTTTATCAATCAAGTTTACTTTTTAAAAAGTTGTTGATACGGGTTGTT